AAAAAAATCGCGAATACCATTTTTACGCACAAGTGTTGTAGCCACCGTAAAGGCACATATGAAATGTCAAGAGAACTTTACCTGTATGGCTTCCAGGCAGAGCTCATCTCCAAACAGTACCAAATGAATCAGGTGCTCCAGCGCAATCAACACTAATCGATCTTTGTTCCCACATTCTGTTAGATACCGAGTAATGATCTAAAAAATCATCAAATTGCCTTTTTTACCCACCACTCTCAGAGTATGATTACCTTGCAAAAAATCTGCAACACTTGCTCGAGCATTTTTCTCACCACAATCGTAAAATAATTAGTAATAGTGAGCGGCATTCCAGTATCGGCAGATTCTCGTTCAAGATCATTGATTTGCAGCTTTACGACATTCGTATCCTGACAAAAGTATCATAAAACTTATTCCTTCCTCTTATTTTCAAAATAGCTTACATATTTAGGTAGATGCTGAGCACACGGGCTAGCTTCCACTATTTGGATGAAAAGACTTGTTTTTGTGAGGAGCTCCCTGGCTGTACTCGGATTGGAAGGACCGGATAATAGCGAATGTATTGATGAGGCAGTTCGGAGAATGTGATCCATCGTGCCTGAAAACACTGTATGTAGTTTGCACATATATTACGGCTATCTGTTCTGGAATTTTATTGGAAGTTGAATTTGTTGAGGACATATGTACGTATAGGAAAAGGAGAAATTAGTATCTTGAAAAAAGGTGATGAGATCTGCCTTAATTAATCAAAGTCTGTAAGTCATACATAGGTAGAAATACATTATTGTCCTACTGCTGAGCGGAGCATGGATACTTCCCCATGTACGTTGAACGCCTTTTTGAAGAAAACCAGTTTTTTTTTGAACAAGGCGCCATTTTTTTCTCCTTCTTTTACCCCACCAGATTCATTGTTGAAAGCGTTTCCCAGCAAATCTCAATTTCCTCTAACATCTCAAGAAGGACCTACACTACTTTTTGTTCCAGCTTCATACGAAATTGATTAACAAAATTCGCTGCGAGAGCAAATGCGAATAGATAAAAGGAAAGTAATCTTGCATAAAACTTCACTCCCGTAATAGAATACAGATTTGAAGAAACTGATCAGTTGGAAAAAGCAGTCACTGAGCTGAGAAAGATGAAAAAAGACGGATGACGCATATCATGAAGGGCGCATTTGCATAGAGAGTGCTTGGGTACCGATAAAAAATCATTAATATGTAAATCCGCGCGCGGGTTATAGAAAACAATTTCACTCTTAGAAGCTTTCGGAAAATGTGACACTTCTCTGACGCTAAGAAAAGTTACCTATCAGTTTCTCAAAGAACTGCGAATGCTGTGAGGTGTGGTACAAATACATTACTTCTGTTCAATCCGAAAATTTCATTTTCAGGAATGTTTCTCATATGTTTTTGAGTTATTTTCAAGTTAACTGACATCCGAAATAATTTAACCACGGAGCAAAAACAAAAACAACAATCAAGAGCAGCCTGGTTTGTACTAGATAGGCGAGATCAAAGCATGAGTAAAGCTCCTATGTATGAGAATACATATGTAGAGTAATTGCTTAAGATAAAAGTCATCCACGTTTTTATTTCCTTAACTAAAAATCGCCTGCTGTTTGGATGCCTTGTCAGTAGTTGTCCATTCAATTTTTTTCGCCTTTTGCTTTTGTCTCACAAAATTGTTTGATGTGTTTGAAAACTGCGATTGAATATAACAAAAAACCGTTTTAAGGGTTAGAAGCATATTTTTTATTTTAAGAAAAATTTTGCATGTTATTTTTGGATGCAAGAGTTTCGAACCATTGCATAATGCTATTAACTACTTTGACACATTGAAATAACATCCATACATAGTTGATTATCACAGTGGCTTTGCCTAACCTAGCTCTTGTGTATAAAGTAAAAAGGTAATTTCATTCTTTTTTATTCTGCAGCAAGCAACTGCTTTCAGCTATGTTGTTTAGAGTTTGAACTCATGTGATGTAGAGGTATCACCTCAGTAACGACTGCCTGGATTTCTTCTGACTCGGTATGAGCTGATTCACTGAGGTAGTGAAATGGAGGAAATAAAGTTCTTGCGTGGAATGATTGTGTCGGGGAAATCCCACAGGAAACATTCCAAATTACAGCTCGTAGCTCGCATCAAGAGCCGAAGAATTTTATGACTAAACGACCCAAAAAATTTCGAGCAATGGTTTATAGTCGTAAAAGAACAAATGGACAAAGTCGTATAGGAAATGAGTTTTTTCTTTCGCTTTTGCTTTGTCCAAACAACAAATTTATTTTCCAGTTACGACTATGGAAATCATTAAACTTGATGAGTTATGGCACAAATCCTCACTATTCATGAATTTCAATCACATGAATGTAAATGAGGTCAGAGTTACAAAAAGAGATGCAAATGAGATCAAGACTTTAGTGAAGAGATGAAATAATTAACTCCATTTTCTTACGAAATTTCATGTCTTTTAGGTGAAAGACGATAGTGAATCAATAGCAATTCCGAATTTTCTAGCCGTAAAAGAATTGTTTCCCATTTAAAAAATTCAAGGCGAAACAAAGAAAGGCTGAACTCCTCAAGGACTCCACACTTACTGGCAATTCGGGCATATCCAGGAAGACATCGTTGTTGGTAAACATGGAAGATAGACGATGTCTCTTCGAATACCTCCCTGTCCTCTTTTTCTTCTCTTGACGATGAGAAAGAATGCTGTGAGGTTAGAGCGACGTCACCTAAAAATAAGAATTCTCAGAATTTTAGGGCTAACTTTAAAAAACGAAACTTGGTAGCTAGATTGCTAATAGAAAGAGTTCAACCTGAGCATTGACCGGAATCGACGCTGAGGGTGCTGTCCGAATGCATGCTTTTGGGTGAAGAAGGGGCGTGAGGCGGGACTCGGGGGACCTCTGACGGCTGCTGACTACAGCTGAAAAGTGTCTCTGTGTGTTCTCGAAGATGTTATTGGGAACATTTCAAATGTGAATTTCGCTGTGACAAGTCTCCGACGACGAACAGCGCTTTTTTGAGACGTCTAGGCCATATGGAGCCGACCAACCTCATTCTGGCGAATTCGTGCGTTTGCTCAGGCTCGTCTCGATTCACTGGTGTCGGATGTCGCTGTGCAGAGCTTTTATTCACTATTAGTCGAGCGAAACCATTTCGTCCAACTTTGATTCGTAGCTTAAAATATAATACTTTCTTTGAAATGCAGTCGCGATAGATTAAGCTGGAAAAACGAACGCAACATCGATCAAGAAAGATGCGTCCAAGAATTGATGCCAAGAATGATTTTTGTTATTTGATTTTTATGCTATTGCAATTATTATTAGGTTGTCCCGAAAGTAATGTCGTTCATTTTCAAAAAATTGTAACTCTGCATTGTCCAAACGGTTTTGCTTGCCTGTGATTTTCTTAGAAAGCAAAAGTCTTTC